TGGCTTTCAAACAAGACTCCTTTTAATGTATCCCAGGATTATGTTTGCTTTTTGAGTCCTGATGTCCACTATGAGCTCTGGTTCCCTTTCTGTAGTATTTCTTCCTAAGTAGTCACTTCCCATTTTGTATGTGTGCAGCGGATTGTTCCTTCCTAAGTGGAGTATTTTGCATTTCTCCTTATTAAACTTCATCCTATTTACCTCAGACTACTTCTCCAGTTTGTCTGGGTGATTTTGAGTTATGATCCTCTTCTCTAAAGCAGTTGCAACCCCTCCCATCTTGGTAACATCCACATACTTTGTAAATGTCCTCTCCATGGGTACGTCTAGACTGCAAGCCTCTTTCGAAAGAGGCTTTTTTGAAAGATACTTTCGAAAAAGCCTTTTTCAAAAAAGAGCGTCTAGACTGCAAGCAGTACTTTCGAAAAAGCAAGCCGCTTTTTCGAAAGAGAACACCCAAGCAGTCTGGATGCTCTCTTTCGAAAAAGCCCTGTTTGCTTTCACGAACGTCTTTTTTCGAAAGAGCACTTTCGAAAAAAGGCATTCTTCCTCATGAAATGAGGAGTACTGCTGTCGAAAGAGAAGCCGCGTTCTTTCGATTTAAGTTTGAAAGAACGCAGCTGTAGTCTAGACACAGGTGAAGTTTTTTCGAAAGAAGGCTACTTTTTTCGAAAAAACCCTGCAGTCTAGACACAGCCCATGTGAATACCTAAATCTAAATAGAGTGCCGTTCTATTTGCCCATTTCCAGTCATTTGAAATCTTCCCTCTCTTCCATGACTTCTCAGATAGAATGGGATTCTATGTCAGAAGCTTCCTCACAGGGAGCACACAAACAATGGAGAATGTTTGGCCAATGGGAGTGGATCCTCCATGTCACATGCCCAGACTTTCTAGCAAGCTGGAAGAAATTATAAAAGATGGGGACTGGAGTCATCACTTGTCTCTCCCCTCACCCTGCCCACTGAACACCTGAAAGAAGCTCCAGAAGACAAAGGAGATTGGAAGGGGAAGCAGACGCAGTCTGTGCTTTGGAAATCTACCGTATTTTCCGGCGTATAGGGCGACTGGGCGTATAAGACGACCCCCTAATTTTTTAATTAAAAGATAGGGTTTCATCTTATACCCCAGCGCCCCTCCGCCTCCTTTGCTCCCGGTGTCCCTGGTCTGCTGGAGACGGTCCCCAGCAGACCAGAGGCACCGGGAGCAAAGCCGCAGCAGCTTTGCAAAGCCTCGGGGGAAGCTGGCGGCGGGGCATCCCAGGCGCGCCTGGGATGTATACCCGGCGTACAAGACGACCCCCGATTTTTGGGGGATGTTTTTTAACATCAAAAGTCGTCTTGTACGCCGGAATATACAGTATAACCCTGCTGGTATCATCAGCCAGGGTGAGGTATTGCTCACTCCAAGTCTCTCTCATTTGCGTATGTCTCAAAAAAGATATCTTGGCATTGGAAAAGGTTCAGAAAAGGGCAACACAATTATTTGGGGTTTGGAATAGGTGCCATATGTGCAGAGATTAAAAAGACTGGGACTTTTCTGCTTAGAAAAGAGGAGACTAAAGGGGGATATGATAGAGGTCTATAAAATCATGCCTGGTATGGAAAATGTGAATAAGGAAAAGTTATTTACTTGTTCCCATAACATAAGAACCAGGGGTCACATAATGAAATGACAGTAAAACTCCAATAGTCCGGCATCCAAAAGTCCGGCACTCCTGATAGTCTGGCATCAAAATGGCAAGAGCCTAGTGAGTGAACTTCAGCAAAAAATGAGTCACAAGGTAACAGCGGCAGCAGCTGAACTGAGCAAAAAGGGCAAAAAAGGCTTAAAAACACTAAAACATGACAGTATACTGTATACAGTATGTACAATAAAAAGGGTTAAGAACACTTTATATACAGTATAAAATGTATACAGTATATACCTAACCAGTTTATAGTACCTCCAGATAGTCAGGCATATCTGATAATCCGGCACCACCTAGGTCCCATAGGTTCCGGATTATCGGAAGTCTACTGTAATAGGTTTAAAGCAAAGTAAAGGCAGTATTTCTTCACTCAGAGCACCACCTGTGGAACTCCTCGCCAGAGGATATTGTGAAGAGTAGGATTTTAACAGGGTTCAAAAAAGAGCTAGATTCATTCATGGAGGATAAATCCATCAATGGCTATTATCAAGGATGGGCAGCAGTGGTGTGCTTAGCCTCTGTTTGTTAGTGGTTGGAAATGGGTGACAGGGGAGGGATCACGTGATAATTCCCTGTTCTGTTCACTTCCTCTGGGGCATCTAGCAGTGGCCGATGCCAGATGCCCCAAAGGACGTGAACGGAAGAGGGAATCATCATGTGATCCTTCCCCTGTCACCTGTTCTAATGTTCTTAACTCATCTGGAAATGTCCCTCTCTGTGTACAAGAGGATTGCAGCTTGTCACAGGCTCACAGTGCGATAGGGGCTGAGAAGGGTATTCCAGGGGACTCCACACTACCCTTCTTCTGTTCTCCGCACTACCCTTCTTCGCCCAGTGAGGTCCATCACCCACCTCTGAACCAACTGACCTTGCTAAACCTGAACCCACTTCCCTCTTGTCAAGTACACAGGTACTTAGAAAAAGACCATCATTAGAGTAGGGAAGGCCGGACCCTCTCGGTTCTGTCATTCTCTGTGCGACTTTAGTCAAGTCACCTTGCCCTATGCCTCAGTTTACCTATCTATACCGAGAGGATATGTTCATAGTCATTATCCTTTGCTGGGCATTTTTTAGATCCTTCCGTGAGCCGTACTGCACAGTATGACGGTAGTTACTGAGGAGAGCTATTGACCTCTGATCCCTTAAAGACGGATCAAAAAGCGTTCATATCTCCCTTTGGCATCTTTTTCCAGGTCTGTCCATTTACTAGCTATTTAGCCATCAAGGGCATTTACAGTGTGTTAAACCATAGGGAGAACTATAGATTATCCCTCGGTTTCTTACTAATCAAGTGCAAATTTTAAATATAAACAAATACACAGAACAGCCAGTTCCGCCTTGATGTAGGGAGAACCGAGGAGTTCTCATCTCCCTTTGGGGAAGTCCCTTAATTACTGTTTACTCATAAAGTGGGATAAAAAGCACAGAGAGAGAAAGATTGGCTAGAGTGTTTCTGGTCTCCAGCCTATTCGCCTTCCGGTGATTAATTAAACACTAGAGGTTGAGTCAACCTCACCGGGACTGCACGGAGTTGTGTTATAACCAGTGCACACCCCTGTGTCAGCTCTCGGCGTGGGATGCTGTTGCAGACACTGGGCCGAGAGAGCAGCAGGACACGGCTGCCTGAGGGGGATTCCCAGGGAAGACAGGTCCCTCTCAGAATTCACAGGTATTTATTCTTTGGTGAGGAGTTCACTTGTTTGGCAAATCCAGTGCGAACTGGCTAATGGGTAGAGATTAAGTCTGTGGTCCTCTCTGCTCTGCACAGTCATGAAACATCCCAGGGTCCTTCATATTGGTGATGGGTTTGCTCTGGTGTGATGGGTCAAAATGTTCCCTTGGCAGTTCCCTTCTCCTCCTCCCCCACTCCCTACCCGTCAACGGGACTGCCACCCGATGTGGATTCAGTGGGATTCAGTGGGATCCTTCAGGAGGAAATTTCTTAGTTGATGCGCAATACAAAGCCAAGTCTGAGGCCATGGTCCATAGTTCACCCAGGTCCCTCTGAGGCAAAACACCCTTTCTGGTCTGTGACTTGAGTGACGCTCTCAGGAGTTGGCTCTGTAGCCTCCTCTTCTTGCAACTCAGTGCTCTGGCTTTTAACAGTGGGGCTCTTATATGACTTCTATCTGCCGGAAAGCATGGAGGTGCTAGGGTTCTGCATCTGAATAATTATAAATGTTTTTCAAGAGTAACAAGGGCTCTTCTGTTTTAGCTTCCTTTGGGAAGTTGCCTGAACTGTTATGCTTGAAGAAAGAAAGAAAGAAAGAAAGAAAGAAAGAAAGAAAGAAAGAAAGAAAGAAAGAAAGAAAGAAAGCTTTGCAAAGCCTCGGGGGAAGCTGGCGGCGGGGCATCCCAGGCGCGCCTGGGATGTATACCCGGCGTACAAGACGACCCCCGATTTTTGGGGGATGTTTTTTAACATCAAAAGTCGTCTTGTACGCCGGAATATACAGTATAACCCTGCTGGTATCATCAGCCAGGGTGAGGTATTGCTCACTCCAAGTCTCTCTCATTTGCGTATGTCTCAAAAAAGATATCTTGGCATTGGAAAAGGTTCAGAAAAGGGCAACACAATTATTTGGGGTTTGGAATAGGTGCCATATGTGCAGAGATTAAAAAGACTGGGACTTTTCTGCTTAGAAAAGAGGAGACTAAAGGGGGATATGATAGAGGTCTATAAAATCATGCCTGGTATGGAAAATGTGAATAAGGAAAAGTTATTTACTTGTTCCCATAACATAAGAACCAGGGGTCACATAATGAAATGACAGTAAAACTCCAATAGTCCGGCATCCAAAAGTCCGGCACTCCTGATAGTCTGGCATCAAAATGGCAAGAGCCTAGTGAGTGAACTTCAGCAAAAAATGAGTCACAAGGTAACAGCGGCAGCAGCTGAACTGAGCAAAAAGGGCAAAAAAGGCTTAAAAACACTAAAACATGACAGTATACTGTATACAGTATGTACAATAAAAAGGGTTAAGAACACTTTATATACAGTATAAAATGTATACAGTATATACCTAACCAGTTTATAGTACCTCCAGATAGTCAGGCATATCTGATAATCCGGCACCACCTAGGTCCCATAGGTTCCGGATTATCGGAAGTCTACTGTAATAGGTTTAAAGCAAAGTAAAGGCAGTATTTCTTCACTCAGAGCACCACCTGTGGAACTCCTCGCCAGAGGATATTGTGAAGAGTAGGATTTTAACAGGGTTCAAAAAAGAGCTAGATTCATTCATGGAGGATAAATCCATCAATGGCTATTATCAAGGATGGGCAGCAGTGGTGTGCTTAGCCTCTGTTTGTTAGTGGTTGGAAATGGGTGACAGGGGAGGGATCACGTGATAATTCCCTGTTCTGTTCACTTCCTCTGGGGCATCTAGCAGTGGCCGATGCCAGATGCCCCAAAGGACGTGAACGGAAGAGGGAATCATCATGTGATCCTTCCCCTGTCACCTGTTCTAATGTTCTTAACTCATCTGGAAATGTCCCTCTCTGTGTACAAGAGGATTGCAGCTTGTCACAGGCTCACAGTGCGATAGGGGCTGAGAAGGGTATTCCAGGGGACTCCACACTACCCTTCTTCTGTTCTCCGCACTACCCTTCTTCGCCCAGTGAGGTCCATCACCCACCTCTGAACCAACTGACCTTGCTAAACCTGAACCCACTTCCCTCTTGTCAAGTACACAGGTACTTAGAAAAAGACCATCATTAGAGTAGGGAAGGCCGGACCCTCTCGGTTCTGTCATTCTCTGTGCGACCTTAGTCAAGTCACCTTGCCCTATGCCTCAGTTTACCTATCTATACCGTGAGGATATGTTCATAGTCATTATCCTTTGCTGGGCATTTTTTAGATCCTTCCGTGAGCCGTACTGCACAGTATGACGGTAGTTACTGAGGAGAGCTATTGACCTCTGATCCCTTAAAGACGGATCAAAAAGCGTTCATATCTCCCTTTGGCATCTTTTTCCAGGTCTGTCCATTTACTAGCTATTTAGCCATCAAGGGCATTTACAGTGTGTTAAAAAATAGGAGAACTATAGATTATCCCTCGGTTTCTTACTAATCAAGTGCAAATTTTAAATATAAACAAATACACAGAACAGCCAGTTCCGCCTTGATGTAGGGAGAACCGAGGAGTTCTCATCTCCCTTTGGGGAAGTCCCTTAATTACTGTTTACTCATAAAGTGGGATAAAAAGCACAGAGAGAGAAAGATTGGCTAGAGTGTTTCTGGTCTCCAGCCTATTCGCCTTCCGGTGATTAATTAAACACTAGAGGTTGAGTCAACCTCACCGGGACTGCACGGAGTTGTGTTATAACCAGTGCACACCCCTGTGTCAGCTCTCGGCGTGGGATGCTGTTGCAGACACTGGGCCAAGAGAGCAGCGGGACACGGCTGCCTGAGGGGGATTCCCAGGGAAGACAGGTCCCTCTCAGAATTCACAGGTATTTATTCTTTGGTGAGGAGTTCACTTGTTTGGCAAATCCAGTGCGAACTGGCTAATGGGTAGAGATTAAGTCTGTGGTCCTCTCTGCTCTGCACAGTCATGAAACATCCCAGGGTCCTTCATATTGGTGATGGGTTTGCTCTGGTGTGATGGGTCAAAATGTTCCCTTGGCAGTTCCCTTCTCCTCCTCCCCCACTCCCTACCCGTCAACGGGACTGCCACCCGATGTGGATTCAGTGGGATTCAGTGGGATCCTTCAGGAGGAAATTTCTTAGTTGATGCGCAATACAAAGCCAAGTCTGAGGCCATGGTCCATAGTTCACCCAGGTCCCTCTGAGGCAAAACACCCTTTCTGGTCTGTGACTTGAGTGACGCTCTCAGGAGTTGGCTCTGTAGCCTCCTCTTCTTGCAACTCAGTGCTCTGGCTTTTAACAGTGGGGCTCTTATATGACTTCTATCTGCCGGAAAGCATGGAGGTGCTAGGGTTCTGCATCTGAATAATTATAAATGTTTTTCAAGAGTAACAAGGGCTCTTCTGTTTTAGCTTCCTTTGGGAAGTTGCCTGAACTGTTATGCTTGAAGAAAGAAAGAAAGAAAGAAAGAAAGAAAGAAAGAAAGAAAGAAAGAAAGAAAGAAAGAAAGAAAGAAAGAAAGAAAGAAAGAAAGAAAGAAAGA